ATTTTTATGATATAACAGGCGTTTTTTAAAATTTCTGCCGGTTAGTCAAATATAAACTTTAGATTAGATTATAACTATTAGATTTAGATTTAATAAACTAGAATTCACATTGAATGACCAAGCTCAAGGTAATAACTCTCCTCTTTTGAATTTATTTTAACTGAATACTAGTCCTTAAATATATCTCTTTAACTAACTCACACAATAAGTGGTGATTACTCAATTCATACGAGGAAGTCAAAATTGTGGCGGAAGGTATGCTACGAGATAAAAAGTTTGTATATTTCTTTATTCGTATTTAGATATTATATTGGAGAATTTGAGCTAACAGAAAACACTTTACTGACCATCAAATTGGTCATTTCTGAACTCCAGTCGGCTAAAAACCTCATCATATTTAAACATACACACACACACACACACACACATTGACTGAATATCTTAACACCGTAGAAAAAAGTAGGGGCGGAAGCTACTGAGGTTGTATTTTAGACTTTAAAAACCAAATATATCTTTGGTTTAAGGATCTGTAAAGATAGTATAACAACCGAAACATCTGTCAGAGTATTCCTAATATATTTTGTAAAACAAAAAGTAAGTGTTTTAGTTGTCTATTCAATTACGAATTTTACGCCCGATTCCATTTAAAATAACGAAGTTGATGTGAACTTCCGGTATAACCGTTATTTTAATTGAGGAGAGCATACCCAATAAACGACATTATCCAAATTATCAAAATTTAAATTGAAATAGTTTCCGAAACATTCTAACGGGTGGTTACCGTGAGACATCCTAAATAGAGACTTTCATGCTTCACATTGTTTAAAATACTTTCTATTTTGTTTGTATTGTATCTGTATTTAATAAGTTTAATCTGAATTTTGAATACGAATTAAAATTACAAATAAATACCTAATGAGGTTTATGCATACCACATGTATGTTCTTTTTTTAATTTAGAATGCAACTACGCATGCCAACAGACGTGAATGAACAAGACAGGCAAAGAAAACGATGCGATACATGTCTCAAATCGTATCGTTGTGCTAAACTTCGGAAATGTGAACCGTGTGAAAAAATTTGCGGAAATGACGTCATGGGAAATGTAGGTAGCATTAACAAAATTGATGAGTACAGTGCCTACTTTACTCTTGGAGAATTTGGACCTGGGTTTCAAATGGATCAAATCGTGGATTTTATAGGTTTACCTGAAAGGGATAAGTATGAGAAAGTTGTTGTTATAGGAAAAACTAAAGATCAAAATGGCCTAAAAAAGTGTAAAGCGTTAATCATTGATCCGGTTGAATCATTCAAGGATATTAAAGAAGCAAAATGTGCAGGAATTGCACTGAAAAAAACTGAAACCGATCAAAAATTGGTAGCACCATCAAATATACAAGACTACATCGAAACTGCAGAAAATCATCTCATAGCGGTAATAACCCACCATTATTTATTTCCATTTGTAACAATTTAGTTTCTGAGAAGTAAAACGTGCTTCTATGATGATTATAATGATAAAACCTTGAGTGTTTAAAATTTTACTTACCTATATAGGTTAAAAAATGGTTTTTGTTAATCAACAGTATTCTGTTGTATTTGTTATGAATTTCGTTTGAAAGTTTAATGTTCTATGCAAGCTTGAAGTAGCTTTTTAGTAATTTTGGCTTTTGGTAAGCACTTTCCTTCCAGAGTAAATGACCTCACACACACATTAAGATTTGTTACTATGTGTGTGTTAAAAGTAATACTTGAAATGAAACTTATAATCGACATATTGTTCATGTCCACCCTCCTCTCGAGCATTAGTTATGAGAGAACGAAAGCAAATATTTTTTTAATATTTTCACGTAATGGCTTTTATACTACAAATGAAATTTTTACAACTTTACTACTTGTTAATAAAATTTATAATTTTCACTACTAAATTTAAATTGTTATTTTGTTATTGGTTGGATAGGTACATTTTCATTTTGTTAATTTATTAATTAGGCATTATTGATGCAAGGTATTTTTTTTTACAAAATGACATGAGAAAATACTTTTGATAAATTAAAGCTAAGTGAATTTGATCAGAATTGTTAAGGGTAACTAGAAAGAAAAATAATACAAGAAAATCAGTTGGAGTAACTGGAACTAACTAAACAAGCACAAAAAATCAAAACTCCATTAACCGTTTATACTAGACTGAGGTGTCATTCTCAGTTAGGGACTAAGTTAATCCTAAACCTAAAGCGTATTGTATTGTTACTATCCTTCCTTAAGGATTTTAATAGCAAAAAGTAGAAGTTGACTTTATTAAATAAATATCGGCATTAGGAAGGAGGTTTGTGGGAGGTCACAGTAGTAAAACTAATTATTCGTTAATATTGAAAGAAATATACGTTCAATACTAAACAGTGGGGATAAGCCTGTAAAGTAAAATTAAACGTCTTGGTTAATAGGCAGACGGGAGTTGTTTAGTAATTACGATGACTATTTAAGCTTCTCGAGTGCATAATTCGACGTAGTATTGATGGGTGAAAGTGAATCTCATTTTATTTTGATAGTAATCTGAAAAGATCGGAGCTTGGGATGGAACCACTATTCGAGTTCATGGGATTGCCTTTATTTTTGTATATATCAAACTTTCATAAGCGTCAAAAAGGGAAGGGTTATCGACGTTTCTGATTATACGTGAACGGAAATATAAAAAAAGCTATGCTAAATTTTTTTAAGGTGAAATACTTTTTAACCCTTTTATGTGCTGTACGACTCCCATATAGGTGCACATACAGGGTGTAACAGAAATAAGTGCCAAGCTTTGGAGAGTAAACTAGATGTAATAAACAATCGTACGGTGAGTTCAGCATCGTGGTTAAGGACAAAAAGAAATTAATAAAACCACAATATTTTACAATCCCAAGCCGATACTGTATGAATTGACAACATAGGTGTCTACCGAATAGCGCAGTGCAATAAAAACCCTACAGATACATGTACTGAGAATGTAAACATTTATCATCGAACGACTAAGGCTTCATTCGAAAATCAGCCTAAGATAAACATAACAACATAACAATTTAGTACTACATATAATATTTGGACTAAGTAAATTAAATAAGTACATTACAAGTAAATGTGCGAACACAAAAGAAGTCGATAAATGAAAATCATCTTGATAATTGTAATTTTATTAAGGGAAATTTTCACACCATAATTGAGGTATTGCTAAGGCGCGTTACCTTTTTGTGGGTAGTTGTAAGTAAACCTTACCAAAAAAGTTAAGCCTCCAAAAATTTCAAACTACACATTTGCTGTTCTTGAAATCGCGAAAGATGGTTTGACATGCGAATTTTACATCGCACCAATTCAAAATTCCGTCCGCCTGAAGCAAATTTGTCTGTATACAGCACCCTATAGAAAAAATTAGCCTTCTTTCGAAACCACTGACCCAAATCCATTCGCGGCTGAAAACCAATTTCAAGCAAATGAGGATACTGCAATTGATCCTTTAAAATTTTGCTACACTATAACGGGAGAGGAGCCAACATTTCCTGCTATTTCGCATGTACTATTTTAGAGACTGTCTTTTTTGAAATCGAGGATTTCGTTGCTACAATGGCTATATTGCTGAAACTCGTAAATACGTCTATTCTATTGTGACTAACCCACACTAATGATTCCTTGTTTTGTCGAATTAGTTTATTGAATTGCACATCGATTGCCTCATATAGGGCTTAAATGTTAAATGAATAAACGATTACTAGAGGTTGACTGTCAACATAAATACCTTGAATCAGAGCCGGGCAAACTCGCCTCTTTTGACTCCCGAGTGCTCCTCAAGGTTAACCAAGTAGCTCCTCATTGATCCTGCGAGGGCAAACTCGGCTCTTTTGACTCCCGAGTGCTCCTCAAGGTTAACCAAGTAGCTCCTCATTGATCCTGCGAGTGCGAGCGAGATGATTTTTTCCTTTTCTTATCCCTTTCATTTCGTAGGTGAGTCCCCTCTTCCATAGCCAAACCCAATAGTTTTGTTAACGTAGTAACGAAAATTTTCGTAGGTATTATTTAAGTTGCGAGAGTGGCTTCCCTCTTCTACGAGATGAAGGGGCTTGATATGAGAGTGGAAGGGAGAAGAAAAAGATAAAACAAAATTATTCATTACTGCTTACTCTTTCGTACTCATCGATGGGTATGGAGTGACTCAAACTAACCTCATGTAGCGGCTCCTACGAAATTAAAGTTTGCCCAGCTCTGCCCTGAATCATACTTAATCTAATCTAACAGATAAATAATACACAACTAAAAAAATACAAAACTAATACTGCACTCATTCCCTGCATTCAATTTCGCACACGAGCATTCGTCTACGTTTTTCGGACATAAACATCTACTTAACTTTCATGTTTTATAGTGCTCTGTCGCTTCCTGCAAGTTAGACACCAAGTTATGCTATACTAAGGATTTATTTTGCCGAATTTTTACATTTAATACCGTAAATTCCTGATTGCTCTCTGAATTCTACGTATATTTAATTTTTGCATTACCTAAAATACCTTGTAAAGTATTTGACGGGGTATGGAACTGTTGTTAAATCAAAATTATTAAGCACCGTCGATAGGTCGCACGTGACTTAAATTGTTGGAACTGAAGAAAGTTGATTTTTTTGATAGGTGACTCTATACTCTCATTAATAGGTACCTATGTCAGGAAAAGCAAAAGATATATCAAAAGAAATCAACAGTTCCTCTTCTAACTCTGTAGTAGGCATCTAAAAATTTCAGAGTATTTTTGACCGAAAAGCCATTGAATTTTATCATCTAAATTCTCTCTTGAGATATTACACGAAAGGGACTTAATGTTTGAAGTAAATAGCCTTAATTAATTGATTGGTTTGTGGATTTTCGGTAAACAATACAATTTTAGAAAGTTTTGGGTTAGATGCATATAAATACCTTCTGGTTTTTACAACTATAATGTTCTTGTACTCTGACATGATTTGATCGTTTTCCTCATCATTCTGGGTTTTGCGTAATACAGTTCATTGATAACATATTGTTTACTCCTTCAATACGATCTAATGTATCAATAATAACGTAATAACTTTTTAAATAAAATCACGTTTTCCATTGAATCCTTCATGATATCCTATTCCAATTTTTCTTCAAATTACTTTTTGGTTTATACACACTGATATTGCTCTTAAGAACAAAAGTACACAAATTCCCAAAGGAGGTTTTAAAATTGAAATTTCCGGGTTTAATCGCGCTACTACGTATTATGTTTTGAATAGGAAGCTTATGTATAGGATTATTCATGTTATACGACACGAAAGATTACTACTATGTTCCTAGATTTATAAAAACGTTTGCTTTAGGGGTGGATAGGGTTTCATAAGTAGTACATTTTAAATTTTTTTTCAAAAATACACAGTTTCCAAACAACACAAACACGTATCAAAGTTGGATTTTTAAATGTAACTCCACATATTTTATTACATTTTTTTGGATTCTTTGTTCAAAATAAGCGAGTTTCGTTGAGGTTTACCTCATCTAATAATTAAGTATCTTGAAATATTTTGAATTTTGTTGAAATGTAGTTAACACTTTTAACTTTCAAATTCTCAAGATGTACTGCCCCTTTTAAAACCANCTAAAAATAATAATATTGTATTACTTTTCATGTCTGTTCATGAAGGATTTATTAATACAAGCTTGGTGTAATTTGTCAAATAGTTGAAGTCAATGTTTAGCTTTTCGAAGTGGATTCAGATCAATATCGGTCAGCCTAAGCGGTAACATTTCTTCTGCTTTAAGGTATTGTTTTCCGTTGAAAACTACAAACGTCTTCAGCAATGTTGATTGTTAGAATATAACTGGTAATAATATAACTAGGGTTTCGTTTAATGATGAGATGAGAACAATTTCCGGTGTGTACCTAAAATCTGTATCATAGAGAAAATTCCTGTTCCGTAAAGATCGACTTACCTAATCGGGTTGGCTCGATTTTCGCATGTAATTGTTCCTTTAACTGGTTCAGTTAATACAAACAGTCAATGGCTTTCGAAAAGAGGATGTCATATTCCCATTGTAGATTTGATTGTATGAATTATGCAATCAGTGGAATTGTAGAGAGTAAACGTGTTTTTGTGACCTTACATATGGGTTTTTCGTTGGTACCATCGTACCAAGGATATCAAAGCAAATTTTCTTTCGGTCATAAAAGTTTTTGTACATACTCAAGTATTGTAATATAGATGATTTGCACTCAAAAGAAGATAACGATGAGAAGGATTAATAATACAAGAAATTAGGAAATATAATTTGTAAATTTCTCTTGTAACAATAAGTAAATAAGTACCTACTTATAGTATAGTATTGGTATATTCCGCCATGATTGTTAACATTAATTGGATTATCGTAATTTGGAATAAATGTTTTTTTTTAAATTAATGCTCCAATGTTTCCAATGAGTAAATAACTGATGGATGTAATTTGTTGTGTTTAGCAAACAAGATTGATGTTATTATTCATGATTATGAAACATTAGGGCATCATGTACAGGGTGGATCCCAACGGTACCCACCACATCTGAACAGTATATGCGAAACTTAAGATAATCTGCAATATGTACGCTATTTCTTGATTTTCGTAGTTGTGAATATTATGCCTAATTCTAAAACTGTTTGAAAATGACCCTTGGTATTAATCCCAATACAAACTTTGTGTTGGGTTGTTTGTTGATAGGAACCAATAATGACTATTATTTATCAATTTTTAATCGAAAATGACCTGTACCTGTATACATACATAAGTATGCTTAATGAACACTTCCCATATTCGTTAATGGTTGACAAGTTAGTAGATGTTTTTGTTTCTTTGTTTTGATACACGGAAAATGCTAGCTATAGCAAATAAGCTTAAACTACCGTTAGAGAGCTGACCGGCAATATAAAGGTAACATAAATATTGATTGTTTATTTTAAAAATGATGACTGAATAAAACTGTGTGACTTACTAGAAACATTTTTATTAGTACAATATTATGTGGGTGTTATTGTCGGTTGACTTAAGTGCACTTAAAATAAAACAATTATAATCATGTATGAAAATATATGTAATATATTGTTTCTGTTCCCAATGTTAGTGTATACTGTTCTCAGTTGTGATCCAAAAGATGCGATTTCTTTGGAACAAGAAAATAAGTAAGTGTATTACATCAATATTATTTTAGTTAGTTTGTTCTCCAAGTTGCCCGCAAAAGTCAGCTAATAATAATGAAAACTCATAAAATTTGAAACAAAATTAATAAACACTTTCCATATTATACATATATTGCACAATTTGTGTTGAATAGGAGTGTTACAGAAACAATAAGTAATTCTTTCTTTTTTAGATTTCGTAATGCTGCACCATCATGGGATGTGATGCAAACTGCATCATCTGATGCTCTAAGTTTTGCTTGCAAACCTGATGATTTGGAATGTAAAAAGTATGAAAAAGATTTATTTGCATGTTATGCAGTCGATATTAATAGCTTTCTTTATATGTTCAAATTCGGAAATAACTATTAACAGTATAATACAGCCGTGTGTAGGATTTAAACATACTGAACAATATCCAGTCCAGTTACTAATATTGATAAAAGTTTTGAAGTATACTTTTTAAATATTTCTGTTTGGTTATTTACAAGTACTTGGTAAAGCATATTTAAATTGTTGAACAGAAAAACCCTTGACCTACAAATACATTGACACTTGTTTTGGTTGATTATACCATCTTATAGTCCTCAACTAAAAGTATAATTAGTTTTGAAAGTTGTAGATAGAGTTGTGGGTAACTGAGTTAACTGTTACTTCATTAAACGTTATATGTATATTTTATTTAATCGAAACACAAACATTTCGCAAATTCTTATTCTTACAACATACTTGAAAAAGTATTGTTTTAGCGAAATTGTAGTCATAAAGAAAAAAAATTGTGAAAGGTTCAATTTGTGTTTTAATTAAAAAAGGTATTGCAGCATTTATTGTCTACTTGTTGTAAATATTTTAACAAAGGAGAAGTCTCAAATTCAGTCTTGCTAATGTTGATGGCTAGACAGTTTATGTTAACCTGATCTACTTCTAAAATTTCCGTATAAAATTGACTTTTTTACGTTATTTCTATTTCTATCTATATGTTCGGTTATACCAGTAGAATTTTCGTACTTATCTAAGAGCTCGGTTAACCTTTAGCTTATTAATTTCTTTGTGGGCTGTTTACTAGCAGTTTTCCTAAATTATTTTAATTGAAATAAATGACAGATACATCTAGTTTTTTTAACTTATTGCGAATTTTATTAGATATGTTAGATACAAAATTGGTGTTATCAAAATAATTTATTAGTCTAGAATTTTTTTAATTTGGCTTTGAATAAGGACTTTGGAGAATTAATCATTTTTGTTTATTATTAATAACTCTGTCTATTAGATTTTCTTTGTAATCTTTCTCTTTGGCATTATTTTTTAACATAGAAACTTCTAATAATAAAAGTTGAAACAAACTGCCAGTAGTTAAACTACTCTTGATAAAAAGCTAATCGCCCGAATTGTGTCTTAATGAAATTTGTTTATACAATTAAAGACTTAAATGCTTTTACTTTGCATTCATTATTATTAACCCTTCGTTCAATACGTGAGATTCTGCAATATATCTAAACAGGCGCAGTATGAGAAACCCCATTTNTTAATATTGAAAGAAATATACGTTCAATACTAAACAATGGGGATAAGCCTGTAAAGTAAAATTAAACGTCTTGGTTAATAGGCAGACGGGAGTTGTTTAGTAATTACGATGACTATTTAAGCTTCTCGAGTGCATAATTCGACGTAGTCTGTGTATAAGGTGACATGAAATTGCTTGTATTCCTCTCGGAAAAAGAAACTATTAGTAATTAGGAATGATGTTAATTCTAATTACTTGGGTGTCGAAAATGCCCCATTTTCGAGAAAATCTGCCAAGAATTTTTATTGTATTTTTTTATTATTGTAAGCTTTAACACACAACATAAATCTAACAGTAAATTTCGTGGATTTTAGCTTTAGTAGGCCAATTAGTAAGTTATCAAATCATTGAATAATTCAAGTCAAAAAGTGAAAATATATTCTTTTAAATTTTTAATTCCCAAAATTCGGATTTTTATAAATAACCTGCATTTACTCTATGTTCCAATAAGACTCATTTACCTTTAATTAGAATGTATAAAAAATTGAGCCGTCGTAGGACGCTATGGCATAATCAAAAACAAAATATTGAAATTAAAAAAAAAAATTTATTTAATACCTAAATTAAAAATTAAACAAAAACACATGCGACGATAATGAATAATAACACACCATATTATGGAGGCTATACGCAGTATAGCTACAAACCCCACCCTTAATACGGAACCCTCTTTAATAAATTTATATTTGCTTGTTTTTATTTGGTTCCTGTTGCAATCCTTAAAGCCTTAAAGAAGGAACGTAACAATATAATATGCTTCAGATTTAAAACAAATTTACTCTTTACTTTACTTTCTGAGGATAACTCGTTGGGTGTGAACCCCGTGTTAGGTTTCTAAACGTTTTGTAAAATTTTGGGTTTTTAATATTTATTCAAGAAGTTTTATTTTTCGATTACCTAATTGTTTTCTATTTTCATAAATTTAATTTATTCTTTACAAGCAGCAGTCCTCCTTTATTATAAAAATAATTGTAAATAAATAAATAAATAAATAAATAAATAAACCTTCATAACAATAGTTAGTAACCCTGCGTATGCAAGATTTCACCCTTGGAATAATCCTTTGTTTTAATTCTTTTGCAAACATTTTTGTTTTTTAGGAAATAGGTACCGAAAAGCCAATAACTGTATCTAAAGATATTCCCATGATTGAGAATATTCTAAAGTCTGATTTCATGGAAAATACTCCAATGGGGCTGAACAATGGTAAGTTTCAAATAATAGTGATATCAAAAAAAAACTGTCTTACTTGGCTCTATATTTTGATATTTCGGTTTTCTAAACCTGTTTTTTCGATTGGACCCATATTTAAGTATATTGCCATTTAAATGAAACCTTCTTTATTCCTCTTTTTAACATTGTGTATATCAACTAAATTTAATATATTTAAAAAGAAACAAGTTTAGTGTGAGAAGGTTTTGATTCAACTTATAGTTTGAATACCGTCTATACTATCGAGTTAGAGGCGTTAAAAATATAAATAACTGTATTCATTACCGCAGTAAACATTCTTAAAGGTGAAGATGAGGAAAAGGTAAATGAGGTTGATGCTTGTGGACTGCCAAAAAGAACACTTCGACCTCTTTTACGCCGGCTTCTTTGTGAATTTTTGTTGTTGACAAAATATCAGATATAATAACCTTTTAATTAACAACTCGCAAAGTATACTTAATGGTTGAGTCCACTTGTTTTTCTGAACTGTTTGTAACTATCTATTTAATAGTGTTTTCCAACTATCTCATTATAAGTATAATTTAGAATTATAAATCCATTTTTTAGATTTTAACGAATCTACCCAATCGAGCGAGAAAAAATTAATCAAGTCTTCTTTGAAAAAGGGTTCCCTAAGATTTAAAGGGAATAGCGACGAGCCATTGATGGAATCAATAACTGATACGAATTCAACACAAAACTCCGACAGCCTAAAGTTGTTGCACCGAATGAAGGATTCTAGTTATTTTCCTACAGCCGATGAGAATGTAAAGATCGATGAAAATTTTAAATCACAGCTTAGCTCACTAAGTTCATCTGAATTAAAGCCAAGTGAGAATCAGACTTTTCCATATGATTTAAATCAAAACTTAACTTCACCGTTTAATCTTTCTACTACTCATCAGTCAAAATCACAACAACACATGTCAACTCGTTTATTACCTAGAAAACATAACAGAGTGCGACCTAATAGTAATCCATATCGTCATAGAGTTTCTTCTATTCTTAGTGAAAACAATTCAAGTATAGAAGAAATGCCTATAAAAGAAAATAAAAATCTTCTTCAAAGCGAAGGCATGTCACCATCTAATGAGTCTTATCTTGAAATCAACGAAAGGTTTAAAGACGAAGATTTATTGGAAAAGAAAGCTAACGAAATGGTTACCGGAGATCGAAAACAACCCTTAGAATCAAATATGGACCCACAGGTAGAATATTCCAGTTCTAATGAAGTTCCTTCTCAAATAAGTAGAGCATTTAAAAAAATCAAACGTCCTATACAATCCCGAAATTCTTCAAATAACGAAAAAACTTTGAAATCTATTGTAATGATGCCAAAGGACAAGCTATTAGCGCCACTGGAAATAACAGAGAGTTCAGAGAACCATGAAAGTACAACTTTTGACGTCGTAACTAAGTTACCTAAAACAATTGGTAAGGTAACTGAAATAGTTCAAGATGCAACTGATAGAGTATTCTTTGAAAAAAGTAGTACAGCTGATTTTTTACAAGAGGAATACCGAGATATACACCAGTTACAAAGACTATATGTCACTACCCCGAAAACTGATACTATTAAGAAAAATTGGAAAGAAGAGTATTTGTATACAACTAAGAACACTTTTGCAGAATCTAATGAAAGTACATCTTTCGATGACGACACAAATGCAGTTGACGAAAGCGAGAACCAAACTATAAGAACAGAGGTAAAGAACAAGGATAAACTAAAACTTTTAAAAGAAAGCAAAGTAACTGAAAAAGTTTTGGCAGTTCCAAAGGCACACAAAAATATAAATAGAGATCAATCTGATGTTTTAGAACATCCATACGGTACACAGAAAACAATAAGTACTAAATTTACTAACTTAGAAACACAAGATTCATTTCCAGATTCCAAAGAAGTTCGGTTACAATCAGAAAACATAGAAAGTGATTTCAGTCAATTCACGGACAAGACAAATGATTCGTTGGATTCCTTTACAAATCAGCCAGAGACTGATAATGACGCATTTCTAGAACCTAACGCGACCACAGCATTTTCAGAACATACGAAAGAGGAAACATTGTCCAAAGAAGCAGATTACAAAAGTAATGTTAATAAGGAATCTAATATTATTTTAACATCTTCAGAATCAAGGATAATAAAACAAAAACATCTTCCAATACTAAAATCTAAACTTTATTCGCCTTTAAAGCAGGAACTGCATACTGGACAGAATATTTTAACGAAACCAAACAGTAATATAACCTATTTAGTATTAGAAGGGGAAAAATCAAAATTAATTTCATCAAATCAAATAAAAGATAAAGTAGACGAATCATCAACTATTTCGAAAAATATTCAGCCTAGCGTAGATTACGAACAAAACTTGGATTCACTTGTAGACGCCTCAAGATATGACAATTATTCAACAGAAGTACCTTCAGAAGAGAATACATTTCTGAAATCCATAAAACAAAAACTTAAAAGTGTTAACAGAAGTCATAAAACCCCGCAAAATATGGTTTCTGCAGAATTGCACCACAGAGGCATTGATACGTTAAAAGAACCATCGTTAAATTCAAATGCTTCAAAACCTGAAAATGCTATTACCAATACTGATTCAGAAGAAAAATTGAAGGCATTTACACATGCGAATAAGAAGCTCAAAGCCAAACATGCCTTTCCTACCAAAATAAATCCAAATGTAGCTCATGCAAAGGATATAAGTGATTTCCCAAAAACTGGAGAAAGTGTGCCATCTATAAAACAAGCATTTACAAATTATGTTGATGATGAATCAGACATAGTAAGTAGTATTCCAATTAAAATTGAATCCGGCAGTTTGGAGAATGTTTTAAAGGCTAAACACCTTGATTCACTAGTACAAGAGCTTGAACAACTTCCTCCGATAATTTATGACAGGGCTTTGAAGGTTTCAAGTGCTCTTTCAAAATTGCAATCCACATCGTCTCCAAATAAAAATTTGATTCAGCCACTGTCTACTAAAAAGCTGCAAGTTGATGAATCAAAAATGGATTTTGTTGAAACTAACGCAGAAGATTTTAATTCTAATTCTAATCCTGTTGAATTCCAAATAAATGGTGATGAAAATTATAAAAATTTAGATGAATCTTTTGAAACCACTGAAGAAGCTTCACCTTATTTAAAATCCATAGAATCTAAAAGTGATAAGATACTTTCTTTTGAAGGAAACATACAATCTAAGGAAATGAAGCTCGCTAATAAATTTAAGGAAGACACTTTCGATTTAAATACTCCTTTAAAAGATGCAGAAGCGTCTAACGAAAAACCTATAAAAGTGGGCAAAGAAGAATCTTCCACCAGAAAAAAATTTGACAAAAAACTAAAAAGAAAATTTGACGATATGACAGTACAAAATAGCCAGAAAAAGAAAGAAAAAGATAATCAAATAGTTAGTGAATCACTGCAAAGCATTTACAGCACAAAAGCCGTGAGTGATGAAGTAGGCAATTCTAATCCAGAAATAATATCAAAAGAAAACATATTCAAAAATTTTGGAAGAGTAATTCCAAATATTCAAGAATATCCTTTGAAAACAAATAGTTTAACTGACAATTTATTGTTTCATGGAAACGACATACACCTCCCACTAAATGCTAAAAAAAATGAAGATGGGTCTTACAAACTCTCCCTTGATATTCAAAAATTATGTGACTGCAAAGAATTAAGTTGTATTAAACATACTCCTGAAACAGTAGAGGAAAAAAGAAATGTTAGAGGTGCGAGTCATACTAATTCTGATGCAGCTGCTCAAGACAAATTTACTGCATTCTCCGACTTCTTGGGGCAACTAAGAAAGATTTCTAAACCTTCTTCTCATTCTGAATTTTCAAAATCTCAATACAATAATGAGATACTAAAACTAATATCTTCTATACGACCAAGTCACGATACCTAATTAATACGAACCAAGAACTATAAAATACATATTATACCTACACTATCCATATAAATATAGTAATCATTTACGTATAAGCCATTAATTTGAAAATACTTACATTATTTTTTTAAAAAATGAAATTACGCTTCACGAATTTTGATTTAATGTGATAAGATCATTATTAATTAATGTTTTTTCATGTGTGTTCTGTTTTTTTGTACATTTTTAATAAATCTTATTTATAAAACGTACTTTACTTTGCATGTACCTTGATAAATAATGCAACAACCCTTTTACAAATCAGTTTAACGGTTCAGTGCACTTAATAATTATAATAAAAAAATATGCATCAAAAAAATCACAAAATTACAATATGCAGTAATAATATATGTTTGCTATAAATGTGAATATTATAAGAGACATCCTCTCGAATTAGTGTCATCATTTATCAAACAAAGCTTGGGTCTTTGCGGTGAAAAAAATAAACAAGAATTAATTAAATTAAAAATTTAAAAAAGCTTCTGATACGAATCATAGTTAAAAACTCTCGAGGATAGACTCAACACATTAAACTAATACATATAACTAATCATAGAAATCGATTAATTAATGAGAACTGACTACTCACGAAAAAAAAAAGAAAATAAACTTATATTGACAAACATTTGTCATAAGAAAAGGAACAAATTACATTCTAACATAAAAGGGCTACAGTGTAAAGAAACAATTGTCATTTCAATTAAAGTGAAAGCATCATAATCTTTCGAGCCCTGGTTAGAATATATCAAACAGAAAGAAACACCATAAGGTCAAACTCTCAAAGATGATGTGCCAGAGACTTATGATTACAGGCGTCTTTTTTTTCAATAAAATAGGTATAACAATCCAATTTTCTACTTTTTTGGCAGAAATATGAGTTAAGAGGGGTAGAGTAACACTAGATAAGATGACGTTCGTAAGTAGTTATAGATTATAAGTTGGTCTCGTTTTCGAGAAATGTGAAATAGAAAGAGGTGATACATTTACAATTAAGTCAAATAATGCAACGAGTGCAAGCCTTGCTAGAAACTGTTTTTCAATTGCGACTGTATTTGTGTCAGTAAATTTAAAAGGAATGTGCTGCGAGCTTTTTTTTTTCATAGGGTGTTGTTGCTTCACGCGGAACGGAATTTTAAATTTTCATATTTGTCGCTATTGTTAATAAGAGCTATTGGCAGGCCACAAAAATAATAACACGCATGACAATATCTCCCTGGTGGTGTGAAAATTTGGCGTAATAAAATTAGTCATTCAGGTGATATCAATTGCGTCCTAACGTTTACGTAACATTTTCTTCGTTTTTTTATATTTAAATACCGGTGGTGTAATTTACATAGTGCTGTATGCTATCACTGATAAACAAATGTACTTATTTAATTTATTTTTATCAGGATGTTTGAAGTCAAAATGGAGAAGCATTTCTTATCTTTAAAACGTATTGACCCTTTGTGTAAAATAGTCTCATTTGTGTTTGTAAGTGGTAGCCAATATAGCTGAATTAACAACAAAACTTTTCGGTGACTGTCAATCGACATGCAAAGCAAATTACACACATACATTGTTAGAAATTAGAAGACAGGCTTCAAAACGATTATTATTCAAATCGTTTCAAAGTCTCCCAAAACATCCGGCATTTGACGTACTGCATTTGCAACGATCACATTGTGTACACATTTAATACACATTGTTTCATACAATCCCATACAAGGAATCCAACCCGCAGTCCCTCAGACGCAATTAAAATTTCGCTATGAGTAGGTATAAACCCGAGTGCCATAATTGGATTATTTTATAACACAGCTACATTTAAATTGTGTCTAGGAGATGTTTGGCCCCTACAATTTTTCTAGCTGCTCACAAAAAATATTGAAATATGTAAAATTGCGATTTATTTTTGTAATCTTTGAAGCGTACGCTGACGGGAGGTGTTTGGCACTATTGATTACTTTTACCAATATTCTGTAAAACATTATCTAAAAATTAGAACTCAGATTTTAAGAAAAGTGAGGAGGTAATATGCGTACCTTTAGGATCTACTAACATTACGTTACGCAGAAAATAAGTAATTTCTGGCGACTGTAGGATCTTGAACTATATATATTATGTAAGTGAGGAATTTTGCCTGAACATTAAAAGAATAAATTTAGAAAAGGACAAATGATATACTTCTATCCATGTACGGATGTATGACACACATTATTTTCTCTTATGCATCAAATGCATTTATAGTTTTTGATCGAGTTTGAAGCATTTTCTTAATAAATTTGACTATCCATAAATAATTACAATGAAAAGAAAGACCATTCTTGTCACACAAAGATGTTAATTAATTAAAAGATTAATGGATAATAGGAGAATACGCAGGGATTAAGATTCTGATTGCAAAGTGTACTTTAAAATGGGAAAGCGTACAAAAGAAAGTTAAGAGTATGGTCATCTTTGTATTATATTTGTATAGCATATTTGCCTCGTATAACTGTATACTTACATAATTTATAAAAATAAGAGTAAGAAGAAAAAAATAAACTGCGAGAATTGAAACATCGTTTTTACACAATGCCTTCATGAAAGTTGAACCTTTAACGGCCGGTATATTTATGCTACTCAAAAATTTCGCTTTAATAGCTGGTTTTGTTACGGGGGCTTATGCCTACCTTAAACGAGCAAGATTTGACAACATGGAGCAAAAGTGTTATTCACAATGTTTTGTTGTGTCGTGCATAATATCCAACAACAACAACGTTAGTCCGGCCGACGGGAAAACCTTACATGCCCGACAGCCCCCCTCACTTTGATCCACTACTGGAAAGACTAATATAGCTACATACACGGGCTCCACAGGCTTCACGTCACCCCACATATCGGAGAAAGGGAGAGAGAGAAAACCTGAAGTTGGAAGTTTGGATTTACCCACCTTCTCGACTATATATGGCACATTTTATATTTTAGAACCTTACAGAGGTATACTATTTCTAATACCAAAAGTCGCCTCCCTTTTTTTATCATCCGACTTTATGTAATCGATTGTGGGACGACACAAATCGCATGCACAAATAAATTGCAAACTTACTTACCTCAGTATAAATCGAGATACACTTTAACACTCTTTTTAATATGTCATGATGTATTATACTCTAATTTACAGATGGTTTGTTTTAATTAACTCATTAATCATTAATTTCTAGGAATAATTAGTAAATTTCAAGTAAGTGTACATAAATAATTTAGTTATACTTAATTTTTCCAATAACAAGCCAACATCTGTTACTTCGGTCTTAGAAACCATATTAGTGGTTTTTAATTTGAAGATCGCTTTCTCTACCATCCTAAATTTCGGTGAAATACAAAATACCGTTTAGCATTATTGCTTGCTACAAGGAATTTGTCATCATACTCTGCGCTCGACCTTCGTTATATGAATCACGTACTACACACCGATTTCTATTACCGAAACGATCAGAGCTTTTTCCACAGCGAACCAGGTGTTCATTACAACTGTCCGTTACTGGACAAATTTATTATCCAAGGTGAACAATATATTCTGCCAGCCGTAATAGGTAAGAGTTCTCTGGGACGGGTACGCAATATCCCTTTGAACTTCAACGTACCACAACTAACATAGACAAACTTTCTTAACTAATTTAAATATATTTTCCTTATTCTTAAACCTTTTTTCCTGATTTTGTGAAGTCAGTTCTACCTAACTAGCCATTTTCAGCATGGCTAGCCCCAAGAGCTCCGCACTCTTGGAGGGATTTTCCCTTGCGGACGCCATTGCCCTGGCGAGTGATCTTCAGGCCAAACTCGTCGAAGTAAACGAAAACGTCAAAACCATTCTCCAATGCACAGGGAGAATTAATAAGTTTCTGTCCCTGCTGCTTAACAGGTACCGAAAATTGAAATTTTCCATTAATGAGACCAAATCGGAAGCAATTTTCTTCTCTTGTAGGTCCCGAAAACCTCCCTCCATCTTAGTAAACAACCGTCCCATCAAGTGGAATAACTTTGTCACCTACCTACCTAGGCGTCGTATTCGACAGGACCCTAAACTGGCGGTTGCACATCGCAACTACCCGTAACAAGGCAATGGGTGCATTCATCGCACTCAAGTCTTTCTTCCGAAACGACTCCATCTCCCAATATATGAAAATCCGTGCGTTTAATACAATAATCAGGAGCATTTGTTTCTACGCAATTCCCGTTTGGGGCTGCGCCTTTCACCACCGTCTGAAACCTCTGCAAGGCACCTACATGCGGATCCTTCGTTCCGCACTAAACTATGCCTGGTTCGTCCCTCCAAATTCTGAAAGTAACCGGTTTACCTTCTCTCCCTGATGTTGCAGTCTCATTCGCAGCAAATCTCCGGGCCTCAGTGTCAGGTCACGCAAACTCTACTATCTCGACACTCTCCTTCGCCCCGAAGCCAAACGACCATTTCCGAAGGCTCTGTCACCTTCTACAATGAGCTACTGCTTTTCGCTTTTTAGCGCGAATGTCCACCCATCATTTCCAAGGTGGACCACCTATTCCGACTGTTCTCCTAACAATCCCCTCACGCTTAACCATTTTCCCTTTTCAACCCTATCCCAAATCCCAACCTTTCATTCTCTTCCCGGGAATGAGTAACCTTCTGGGTTTATCTCCCCACTCGAGGAGGTTTTAATCGCTAAAAATCCGACACTACCTCCCTTCAGGGGGTGTTCTTTTGAAGATGCGCCCTCCTCTAGAATAATCTAATTGTCATTTTGTGATGGTTCTTTTCTTGGATGTTTATGGGTTTTTTGGGACAGATTTGCTGGTTACGGGGGTCGAATTTTAAATGTTGTTTAAGGTTTATAAATTAATTGAATTATTGAACCACAGTGATCCGTTTTTTTATTCCAAAGAAGTTGTTATGTCAAATTAATTTGGGGTGTAGCTGCGAACGATGTACCAATATGAGATTTACAACCCCATTGCGAACTCTTCGAGAAGCTACGTTTACACTTTTTCCAACAGGTATCTCAAACAAAATGTGTTCTACACTACAGGAAATGGACTGAAATAGGTGCCGAGTTTGCAAGAGGTGATAGGTTATTATAAAACAAGAAATATTTGTATTTCTGAAAGTTCATCATTTAGAGAAAAACGTAGTTTAACTTACAGACAAATGTAATTCCGGCTGTGGTAAAGAAATACGTCAATGCAACAACGTATTGTAATTAGCAGAACCAGTGTTGCATTTATTTTGTAGTTTTTTGCTCATGTAATGTTTATTATTTGCTTAATTAAATTGTGATTCAAGATGCTTATATTGCAGCTAACCTGTAGTAGTTTTTTGTTCATTTGACTTTTAGACCTTTGTATTTAGTCAAACGATGTGCAGTTCAATAAACTAATTCAGCAATACCACCAATCATTGTAGGTCAGTATGTTACTGCAGAACAGTTGTTATAATAATGATGAGACATACTTATTTACGGTATCGGTAGAGGACAAAATCTTTGATTTTTGATAGGAGACAACCTCAAAATAGTTCACGCGAAATAGCTGCAAACGTTGATGATGGTGCAAGTCTTAGTTGAGATTGATTTCCAGCCTCTACTGAGTTTGTGCCAGTAGTTTCGAAAGAAATGTATTCCATAATGTGCTGTTTACAGACGAATGTAACAAATGCGTATGTCGTACATCGTTCGAAATTTCGACAACCGTTTTCGGTAAATGTATGGTGCAAAATTTTTGTTATTCGCACCGTTCCTTCCATCTGCGCTTTTTAAATTGTGCTACTTATTTGTTTTTCTTTACAAGAGAATGTACTTGAGAATGCACCGTTGCAACTATATGGATGTTAAGTTATTTCAATGTGGTGGTGTACTCCCTCATGTTGCAGGACAAGTGTGTGAGTTTTTTAGAGCAGTTTCCTGGACGGTGGATTGGTAGTGGGGGAGCCGTACTGTACGCGCCGGATTTAAATCTGAAACAGATGGATTGAATGAAACAGCGCGTGTATCAAATCTCTATGTACATCCCTAGTGATCGCTGCAATTGAAGTACGATAAATACCGATTTGATAATTTCGATAGAATTATCGAAGCATTTTAGAAAATACCACAAATGGCGCGGTAAACGCCATCTGTAGTAAGATGCTACATTTTAGGATTACATATGCTCCAACAAGGTAATTCCGGATAATTTTTGTGTGCAAGTAGCGGTAGTGGTGTTGTTCCCAGAACCAATTATTCCTCGATAGGTATGCAGTAAATTCACTTACAAGCAAAAATTAGTACTAACGTTTACCTAACCTGTGTTTTTTTCCCTTTTCAAAATAAGTTAATTTCCGGTATTGGTTTTTTTTAATCAGAAAATTTGTGGTAGGCATCAACCCATCGTTTTAATTTCATGATTGGCCCGTAAGAATTCACTAATTTAAAACACTTGGGACAGCAACAATAATCACACCACACAGTCGCAAGGATTGTTACAAGGATCCCTGAATAAAAATACCAACGGAAACGGGGCTCTATCAGCTGGTTCTTCAGTTGGTCCTCAATCTGTTTTTGGAAAACCTCTAGTTCTTTAATAAGGATGTCAAGTCATCTCGATGTAACTTTGTAAAATAGGATTTAGTTTTAGGTGTTTCAAAGAACCGATACTTGATAAACAACAATCAATACCTATTTCAGGAAGCGTTTACGTAACTTATATGGGTGATTTTCGGCTTTAACGTACAGGCCTCTTGAAGTATACAGTACGCACTGGGGTTGTATACTGATAAGCCAAGAAGCGTTGGTCATAGTTTTTTTAGTAATTTTCTCATTGAAACTACCGGGGTTATCCATAAAAAGAGCACCCTGTAATAAAATATAGCCTTTAAGTCTTTCTATGTTAACTTTTGTTTGCTTATTATTTCGTTCTAAAGCAAGGTTTTTATCATTTTAACTTCTTTACTGCATATAGGCCGCTATATTTTGATTCCCATGATTTAAGCAAACTAGTTTTATTTTTAAGCATTACCTGGTCGCCAATATTGTATGTTCTTCTTTTTATCTGTTTATGGTGTCTTTTTTTAGATTTGGTCTTCACCACATCTTGATTATTAAATATTCTGTCTTTCATATTAATACAAAACCGGCATCCGTCAGGCGACCAACTCGTCTGTCGTTGCGTAATCAATCATCAAAAGGTTGAATACACACGCACCCGAACCGGCACATCAAGGACGCGATTTACGCAAGAGTGCTTTCGCTCCAGTGTGTTAGCCATTCTAGCAATAGCTACCTCCAAGAGCCCTGTACTATTGGGGCGTGGCCTTCCCTTGCGGAACCTTAACCCTAGAGAGTGAGCTGCAATCCAAGCTCGCTACGTTAAACGAGTTCATCCGTCGTCATGCGCTTCTGAGCCCTATATGCCAGGACACAGTGCCCGGCACCTCTTACGCTGCTTTCCAGGTTCACTCCGCACCAGAGCCACCGCCTGTTTCCGCTGGCGGCTTCACTGAAGCGACGTAACAAACGCCAAGTCGAGAATATAATGAGCTACTTTATCCCTACCTACGATTTTGCAAGCGCCCATCTAAGACATTGGAAGGGATACATCTCTAGAGAAAGTAAACGAAGTATACATGCGGATTCTCTATTCCGCACTCAACTACCCCTGCTTCACCAGAAACACCCAAATTCTGAAAGAAACTGGTGTACCTTCACTCTCTGAGGCTGCAATCAAGTTTGCGGCAAATCTCCGGGTCAGGTCACCCAAACCCGTTCATCTCAACACTTCCGATTTCGCCCAAGCCGAGCGAGTGTTGATGAAGGCCATGCCTGCATCTACTCTGAGCTGCCTTCTATTCGCTTCTTCCTAGTTTCGCTTTTCTAGCGTAAGTGTCCACGCAACTCATTCGAGCTCTAGACCACCGATTCCCATGTTATTCCCGTTTCCGCCTAATGCTCAATACCCTTCCCGCTCCCAACTTCTTCCCATTGAACCTCCTCTGGGATGTACAACCTCCGGGTTGATCTCCCTACTCGGGTTTTAGTCGGCAGGTGCTTAGGCGACACTACCCCACTTCAGGAGGTGTCTTTTGAAGATTTCCCTCCTCGAGGAAAAACTAAAAAAAAAAAACGGAAATGGAATGGAAAACACACGGCTGAAGTGGATTTGAATTGATAAGTCCTACAGCGGTCTGAGGTAGGGGGTTTTAGTTGGTAAGCGCTCTTAGAATTGAATCCACCACTACCCAATCGTACTGACGACTGGGTGTCTTTTGAAGATTTTCCGTTTTTCACGAAAACAAAGAAGAAAAAACAGAAGCGAACTCGCCTCCTTCTGCTCTAATGAAAAAGTATCACCAGAGAGTATATCCGTACCAGCAATAGACCAACAAATAACCAGTTAAGATTTAGAAGCGGAGTTTACCGATGAACTTCAGTGAACGACGCTGTCTCCATGTGCAGTCGCTCGCCAAGCCCTAACTGGAGATTATAGGCAGCACGCCTCCGACCCGGCTAGACGACCCCAGCAAGATTTACGAGCACTGTTCGTCAGGCTCAAATACTTGCATGCTCCATTCCTGGGTGTCCCAGGGATCCCGCCATGCGACCCCAGGTTGACATTGGAGCTTCCTCTCCCGACCTGGGCCTTCGAGCTTTTACGCCTCCAGACCCCTCTCGTTGCTCCGGTGTAAAGTTCTTAATAAATGTAAATAAAGTTCTTTAACGCTACTAGTGGTTCTTCCTTTAAAATGTTGTCAGTGGTCCACCAGCCAAGCAGACCAACGGTAGGGCTCGGTAACGGTAACTCGTTAAGTTTCTCGTTAAGTTACTGTATTTTGTTAGTGTAAAAATTTTCGTAATTTCATTCAGCACAAAATGAATATTTGGGTTTTGTTGTTTTTGACCAAAAACAAGCTTGTACGGTGTGAATTTGTTCTAGACGGTGCGAGATACGATTCCTAAAATTTGGATCTAACGTATTTGACGCAACGGTAGAGTATATCACACTCGTCGAAAATATGACCGGTCGTTGCGTCAAATGTTTTCAATCGGACAACGGCCGAGAATACATCAGTCATCAACATCATACTTACAATCTGCATCAAAACGGCGTTGTGGAAAGAAGAAACTACACCACTAGTTGTCTAAGGTTGGAGCCCGATCTACTAGATTCACTTTGGACCGAAATGATCAACACATCAAATTATTTGCCAATTCGGCTACCTTCGAAGAGCTTGCATGGGAAATATGGACCGGTAGACCACCTGATATTTCACACCTACAGATTTTTGGCAATTCGGTAACCTATCTCGACAGAGAACCTGGAGAAACAAACTTGAGCAATGTGGTCTGGACGGCATCCTGGTAGAATATTCGACGGAATCTAAAGGTTATCAAGTCTGGGTACCTGAGAAGAGAAAAGTCATCGTGTGCCGTGATATTAAATTTGTAAGACAAACGAAAACGAAAATGACTCCGAGGAAAAGAAACTGCAGAAAATGCAAACCGATAAAAGTCACAATTTTTCAGTCAAACAAATCCACAAGAAATAATGAGCAAATTGGGGTCGTCGAGAAAACATTCATCGCTGAGATCCCCATGAACCAAGCCATGGGTGACCCCGACGTCAACGATTGGTTTCAAGCAATTACAACTGAGATGATGTCCATCCTGGAAAGCAACACTTGTGTACACGTGAACTGGTCTCAACACACAAAGGTCATTGGAAGTCGCATCGTTCTACGGAATAAATTTCGACCGGATGGTTCACTAGAAAAACGAAAGGCGAGAAGAGTACTTCAAGGTTTTAATCAACAATTGGATATCCACTTTTCATAAACTTTTATCTGACAGCGGTTTTCTGACAAAGGCTCTCCTGAGACCTAAGTAAAGTTGTTGTACGAGAGCCGCAGGACTTCGAACATCAGTGAGATTTAAAGAACTCGTCACTCGAGAAAACACTGAACATTAATGTGCTTGTTTTCAAGTTACGGGTTTTACTCAATTGTATGATTAATTTAATAATTTCCAGTGCGTTCTAGTTTATAACCAAGAATATGTTCTTATGGAAATACCAAAGAAGTTAAATTTTTTAANGTATTACATCAATATTATTTTAGTTAGTTTGTTCTCCAAGTTGCCCGCAAAAGTCAGCTAATAATAATGAAAACTCATAAAATTTGAAACAAAATTAATAAACACTTTCCATATTATACATATATTGCACAATTTGTGTTGAATAGGAGTGTTACAGAAACAATAAGTAATTCTTTCTTTTTTAGATTTCGTAATGCTGCACCATCATGGGATGTGATGCAAACTGCATCATCTGATGCTCTAAGTTTTGCTTGCAAACCTGATGATTTGGAATGTAAAAAGTATGAAAAAGATTTATTTGCATGTTATGCAGTCGATATTAATAGCTTTCTTTATATGTTCAAATTCGGAAATAACTATTAACAGTATAATACAGCCGTGTGTAGGATTTAAACATACTGAACAATATCCAGTCCAGTTACTAATATTGATAAAAGTTTTGAAGTATACTTTTTAAATATTTCTGTTTGGTTATTTACAAGTACTTGGTAAAGCATATTTAAATTGTTGAACAGAAAAACCCTTGACCTACAAATACATTGACACTTGTTTTGGTTGATTATACCATCTTATAGTCCTCAACTAAAAGTATAATTAGTTTTGAAAGTTGTAGATAGAGTTGTGGGTAACTGAGTTAACTGTTACTTCATTAAACGTTATATGTATATTTTATTTAATCGAAACACAAACATTTCGCAAATTCTTATTCTTACAACATACTTGAAAAAGTATTGTTTTAGCGAAATTGTAGTCATAAAGAAAAAAAATTGTGAAAGGTTCAATTTGTGTTTTAATTAAAAAAGGTATTGCAGCATTTATTGTCTACTTGTTGTAAATATTTTAACAAAGGAGAAGTCTCAAATTCAGTCTTGCTAATGTTGATGGCTAGACAGTTTATGTTAACCTGATCTACTTCTAAAATTTCCGTATAAAATTGACTTTTTTACGTTATTTCTATTTCTATCTATATGTTCGGTTATACCAGTAGAATTTTCGTACTTATCTAAGAGCTCGGTTAACCTTTAGCTTATTAATTTCTTTGTGGGCTGTTTACTAGCAGTTTTCCTAAATTATTTTAATTGAAATAAATGACAGATACATCTAGTTTTTTTAACTTATTGCGAATTTTATTAGATATGTTAGATACAAAATTGGTGTTATCAAAATAATTTATTAGTCTAGAATTTTTTTAATTTGGCTTTGAATAAGGACTTTGGAGAATTAATCATTTTTGTTTATTATTAATAACTCTGTCTATTAGATTTTCTTTGTAATCTTTCTCTTTGGCATTATTTTTTAACATAGAAACTTCTAATAATAAAAGTTGAAACAAACTGCCAGTAGTTAAACTACTCTTGATAAAAAGCTAATCGCCCGAATTGTGTCTTAATGAAATTTGTTTATACAATTAAAGACTTAAATGCTTTTACTTTGCATTCATTATTATTAACCCTTCGTTCAATACGTGAGATTCTGCAATATATCTAAACAGGCGCAGTATGAGAAACCCCATTTTATATTTGTTGTAAAAAGTATTTTTGAAATTTGCAATAATAATTATTACATTTGCATAGTTCAATGACCCCTTTATAACATAGTACAATAATATGTACCTACAAGTAAATTTTTGCTTTCAAATAAAGAATAAAGGTAGCTATTATTGAATCAAGTAAAACACGTGTTGCTGCTAAAAGCTTTAGTTTACATGAAACATTTGACATTTAGACAATCAAACTGAAAGCAAAAATTGAATGCAGTAAAGACTTGAAACCGAATGATCTTTACATATATTAAATTATTTAGGCTTTACCTGGTAAAAATCCATGTTTAAATGTGAATAAATACTTAATGATCTTCACAAAATTTCTATTTTGTAGCTTATGTTTAGCCACAACTTTGACTTCCTGTAATATCTGCCTGAGTTACTTAAATAGTTACTACAAATATTTCGGAAATGGTATTCAATTAAAATAAATTCAAATGGAGGGAATTGTTACCTTCAACTTGGTCATGAATTCCAGTTTTTTAAATCTATTTGTTTCAAGATTCTCTAAGAGGGTTAATTTTTGCCCTTTATTACAACTAAATTAATGTCCTTCTTGAATAATATAGGTAATTACCAAAGGTTTAGTTTTGTTTTTTAAGTAACTATTTTTATGATATAACAGGCGTTTTTTAAAATTTCTGCCGGTTAGTCAAATATAAACTTTAGATTAGATTATAACTATTAGATTTAGATTTAATAAACTAGAATTCACATTGAATGACCAAGCTCAAGGTAATAACTCTCCTCTTTTGAATTTATTTTAACTGAATACTAGTCCTTAAATATATCTCTTTAACTAACTCACACAATAAGTGGTGATTACTCAATTCATACGAGGAAGTCAAAATTGTGGCGGAAGGTATGCTACGAGATAAAAAGTTTGTATATTTCTTTATTCGTATTTAGATATTATATTGGAGAATTTGAGCTAACAGAAAACACTTTACTGACCATCAAATTGGTCATTTCTGAACTCCAGTCGGCTAAAAACCTCATCATATTTAAACATACACACACACACACACACACACACACACACATTGACTGAATATCTTAACACCGTAGAAAAAAGTAGGGGCGGAAGCTACTGAGGTTGTATTTTAGACTTTAAAAACCAAATATATCTTTGGTTTAAGGATCTGTAAAGATAGTATAACAACCGAAACATCTGTCAGAGTATTCCTAATATATTTTGTAAAACAAAAAGTAAGTGTTTTAGTTGTCTATTCAATTACGAATTTTACGCCCGATTCCATTTAAAATAACGAAGTTGATGTGAACTTCCGGTATAACCGTTATTTTAATTGAGGAGAGCATACCCAATAAACGACATTATCCAAATTATCAAAATTTAAATTGAAATAGTTTCCGAAACATTCTAACGGGTGGTTACCGTGAGACATCCTAAATAGAGACTTTCATGCTTCACATTGTTTAAAATACTTTCTATTTTGTTTGTATTGTATCTGTATTTAATAAGTTTAATCTGAATTTTGAATACGAATTAAAATTACAAATAAATACCTAATGAGGTTTATGCATACCACATGTATGTTCTTTTTTTAATTTAGAATGCAACTACGCATGCCAACAGACGTGAATGAACAAGACAGGCAAAGAAAACGATGCGATACATGTCTCAAATCGTATCGTTGTGCTAAACTTCGGAAATGTGAACCGTGTGAAAAAATTTGCGGAAATGACGTCATGGGAAATGTAGGTAGCATTAACAAAATTGATGAGTACAGTGCCTACTTTACTCTTGGAGAATTTGGACCTGGGTTTCAAATGGATCAAATCGTGGATTTTATAGGTTTACCTGAAAGGGATAAGTATGAGAAAGTTGTTGTTATAGGAAAAACTAAAGATCAAAATGGCCTAAAAAAGTGTAAAGCGTTAATCATTGATCCGGTTGAATCATTCAAGGATATTAAAGAAGCAAAATGTGCAGGAATTGCACTGAAAAAAACTGAAACCGATCAAAAATTGGTAGCACCATCAAATATACAAGACTACATCGAAACTGCAGAAAATCATCTCATAGCGGTAATAACCCACCATTATTTCTTTCCATTTGTAACAATTTAGTTTCTGAGAAGTAAAACGTGCTTCTATGACGATTATAATGATAAAACCTTGAGTGTTTAAAATTTTACTTACCTATATAGGTTAAAAAATGGTTTTTGTTAATCAACAGTATTCTGTTGTATTTGTTATGAATTTCGTTTGAAAGTTTAATGTTCTATGCAAGCTTGAAGTAGCTTTTTAGTAATTTTGGCTTTTGGTAAGCACTTTCCTTCCAGAGTAAATAACCTCACACACACATTAAGATTTGTTACTATGTGTGTGTTAAAAGTAATACTTGAAATGAAACTTATAATCGACATATTGTTCATGTCCACCCTCCTCTCGAGCATTAGTTATGAGAGAACGAAAGCAAATATTTTTTTAATATTTTCACGTAATGGCTTTTATACTACAAATGAAATTTTTACAACTTTACTACTTGTTAATAAAATTTATAATTTTCACTACTAAATTTAAATTGTTATTTTGTTATTGGTTGGATAGGTACATTTTCATTTTGTTAATTTATTAATTAGGCATTATTGATGCAAGGTATTTTTTTTTACAAAATGACATGAGAAAATACTTTTGATAAATTAAAGCTAAGTGAATTTGATCAGAATTGTTAAGGGTAACTAAAAAGAAAAATAATACAAGAAAATCAGTTGGAGTAACTGGAACTAACTAAACAAGCACAAAAAATCAAAACTCCATTAACCGTTTATAAACCTAAGACGCATTTCGATACTAGACTGAGGTGTCATTCTCAGTTAGGGACTAAGTTAATCCTAAACCTAAAGCGTATTGTATTGTTACTATCCTTCCTTAAGGATTTTAATAGCAAAAAGTAGAAGTTGACTTTATTAAATAAATATCGGCATTAGGAAGGAGGTTTGTGGGAGGTCACAGTAGTAAAACTAATTATTCGTTAATATTGAAAGAAATATACGTTCAATACTAAACAATGGGGATAAGCCTGTAAAGTAAAATTAAACGTCTTGGTTAATAGGCAGACGGGAGTTGTTTAGTAATTACGATGACTATTTAAGCTTCTCGAGTGCATAATTCGACGTAGTATTGATGGGTGAAAGTGAATCTCATTTTATTTTGATAGTAATCTGAAAAGATCGGAGCTTGGGATGGAACCACTATTCGAGTTCATGGGATTGCCTTTATTTTTGTATATATCAAACTTTCATAAGCGTCAAAAAGGGAAGGGTTATCGACGTTTCTGATTATACGTGAACGGAAATATAAAAAAAGCTATGCTAAATTTTTTTAAGGTGAAATACTTTTTAACCCTTTTATGTGCTGTACGACTCCCATATAGGTGCACATACAGGGTGTAACAGAAATAAGTGCCAAGCTTTGGAGAGTAAACTAGATGTAATAAACAATCGTACGGTGAGTTCAGCATCGTGGTTAAGGACAAAAAGAAATTAATAAAACCACAATATTTTACAATCCCAAGCCGATACTGTATGAATTGACAACATAGGTGTCTACCGAATAGCGCAGTGCAATAAAAACCCTACAGATACATGTACTGAGAATGTAAACATTTATCATCGAACGACTAAGGCTTCATTCGAAAATCAGCCTAAGATAAACATAACAACATAACAATTTAGTACTACATATAATATTTGGACTAAGTAAATTAAATAAGTACATTACAAGTAAATGTGCGAACACAAAAGAAGTCGATAAATGAAAATCATCTTGATAATTGTAATTTTATTAAGGGAAATTTTCACACCATAATTGAGGTATTGCTAAGGCGCGTTACCTTTTTGTGGGTAGTTGTAAGTAAACCTTACCAAAAAAGTTAAGCCTCCAAAAATTTCAAACTACACATTTGCTGTTCTTGAAATCGCGAAAGATGGTTTGACATGCGAATTTTACATCGCACCAATTCAAAATTCCGTCCGCCTGAAGCAAATTTGTCTGTATACAGCACCCTATAGAAAAAATTAGCCTTCTTTCGAAACCACTGACCCAAATCCATTCGCGGCTGAAAACCAATTTCAAGCAAATGAGGATACTGCAATTGATCCTTTAAAATTTTGCTACACTATAACGGGAGAGGAGCCAACATTTCCTGCTATTTCGCATGTACTATTTTAGAGACTGTCTTTTTTGAAATCGAGGATTTCGTTGCTACAATGGCTATATTGCTGAAACTCGTAAATACGTCTATTCTATTGTGACTAACCCACACTAATGATTCCTTGTTTTGTCGAATTAGTTTATTGAATTGCACATCGATTGCCTCATATAGGGCTTAAATGTTAAATGAATAAACGATTACTAGAGGTTGACTGTCAACATAAATACCTTGAATCAGAGCCGGGCAAACTCGCCTCTTTTGACTCCCGAGTGCTCCTCAAGGTTAACCAAGTAGCTCCTCATTGATCCTGCGAGGGCAAACTCGGCTCTTTTGACTCCCGAGTGCTCCTCAAGGTTAACCAAGTAGCTCCTCATTGATCCTGCGAGTGCGAGCGAGATGATTTTTTCCTTTTCTTATCCCTTTCATTTCGTAGGTGAGTCCCCTCTTCCATAGCCAAACCCAATAGTTTTGTTAACGTAGTAACGAAAATTTTCGTAGGTATTATTTAAGTTGCGAGAGTGGCTTCCCTCTTCTACGAGATGAAGGGGCTTGATATGAGAGTGGAAGGGAGAAGAAAAAGATAAAACAAAATTATTCATTACTGCTTACTCTCTCGTACTCATTGAAGGGTATGGAGTGACTCAAACTAANTTTGAAAATTTCCCGATCCATAAGTCTCCAAAAGAAATTAAATCATTTTTAGACCTAACTGGATTCTACAGAAAATTTATCCCAAATTTCGCGAAGCTAGCCAAACTATTAATCGCACTCTTGATGAAAGACACTGCTTTTGCATTTTAACAGGAACATTTAGATTCATTCAACTCATTAAAAGAAAAATTAATAACAGCAACTATTCTACAATACCCAAACTGTAACCAAGAACTTTATGTCTCAACTGATGCGAGTTTCTATGCGATAGGAGATGTACTTAGCCAAGGTCCCATTAATAATAGCCTCCCAATAGCTTATGCGAGTAGAACATTAAATTCAGCAGAGGTTCGGTACTCAACAATTGAGCATAAATTTTTAGCCATAGTTTGGTCGGAAAAACATATCTGACCGTATCTTTACGGAAAGAAATTCATCATTATAAGCCATTAGCGTCCTTTAGTTTGGTTATTTTCGGTTCATTGGAGATTAAAATTGGAAGAATATTGAATTCCCACTGAGATTATTTATAGGTCATGTGACCCATCTAGAAAATATGACGCTACCCAATGGCTGCAGAGTTTGGATATCGAAATCTAACCTAACAAAACCATGTTACCAATAAATTCAATTCAACCACTGCTTGTTCTAGCTTTAATTTTTAATTACCTTTTCAGTAACTTCTTATTATTATCCTGTCAATGCAATGTTCACGTGCAATGTATAAATAAACCTGCAAGCCTGCTGCTTACTTCAGAAACACCCTTTATACTAATATTACGTACCTATAACGAAGTAAAATTGTAAGTTTGGTTGTGGAAGGTAATCCGATTTTAAAATTTCTGTCGCCAGTATTTAGAATGGACCTTAAGGGTGGATGTTGGAATAAGTGTTTTCGTGGAGATCAATTTTGCAACATACGTCGACTAAAAAATGGTGGCGCGAATGTTTTTCTTACAAACGCTACCTCAAGTGGTAAAGCATAAAAGGGCATGTAAAAAAATCCCTGACAAATATATCTACATGTTAAGGTTAATTCACTGACAGATAACATATGGCTCTTATAGTTACTAACTGAATTCCAATTGGACGAAACCGCTAGCACAGCTAGTACAAACTAAAAGGAAAAATCAACTTTTTCTAAGGCACGGTAAATCATTCGGAAAAGCAGTATCTCAAGGACCATGTCAAATCAAGCTGAAAAAACGCACAAAACTCACAACATATCTACATCGGCCGTAAATGCCTAAGAACTACCTATAAACTTATCAACGAAGAGAAATTGCGTTTATGACGTTATCAACGAATCACACTAAAAAGTAAGAGCAACAGCACATTGAATTCAGATGCTAATATTTATTTATTTACTGCATGCATTCCACTCAATCTCCTAATAGTGTTACTATACATTCTCTTGTTGATACTTTCTAAGGTATTGATGTTAATGTACTCATAGTAGACGTTGTTCATTGAATTACTTAAATTTCTTAAATTTTAATATTAAACTCTCCTTACCACGTATTGCAGCTGGGAAAGGATTCCCAAATTTTTCGATATATTCTTCTTCGTATTTTTGTTGGTTAGATTTGCCTTTGTATAAGATCGAAACAGCTCCTTTAGCTCCCATTACTGCAATTTCAGCGGTCGGCCATGCATAGTTTACATCACCTCGGAGATGTTTAGAAGCCATTACATCATAAGCACCTCCGTAACCCTTTGAAAATTCACAATAGCATTTTTCAAATTATAAATTCGGGTAATTATGTAGAATTGGAGTCCCAATCAATTTTCAGCACCAGAGAAATATCAATCCAAAGAAATGCTTTACCTTCTTTCTTTATTACTTTTTCCAATTTCTTCCCCTAGGTTAAGTTATAAATAAAGAATCAGAGCCAATGGGGTGAAAGTTTGATTTATTTAAGTATGGAAGCTTCTTCAAAGGCAGGTTTCTAGGTCAGTTATCAAACTTGTATAAACCACAAGTTTGACAATTTTAATTGTGGATTTGTTCGTCTTTATCCACAATGCATTTAAACTAGTCACTTAATTTATACCTTCGTAGTTGTTTTTATTCATGATTTTAACTATTTATTTTACGTATTATTTAAATAATATCCAAACGTAAAAAATATAATGAATAATATAAAACTATAACATAAATTATTACGTTAGTGTACGTTTCTGCTTATGTATATACTTTATATCTCTAGTTCTCTTC